CTTATTTTTGGGGCTATTTCCCCCCTTTTTGGCCCCTTTTCCCTCTTTTTGGTCTCTTTTTCCCTCTTTTTGCCCCCTTTCCCCCTCCTTTTGGGCTCTTCTCCCTATTTTTGGCCTCTTTTCCCTATTTTTGGGTCTCTTCCCCCTCTTTTGGGGCTCTCTTCCCCTATTTTGGCCTCTCCCCCTTATTTTGGGGGCTGTTTCTCCTCTTTTTGGCCCCTTTTCCCTCTTTTCCCCTCTTTTTGGGTCTCTTTCCCCTCTTTTTGGTCCATTTTGCTCTCTTCTGGGTCTCTTTCCCCTCTTTCTGGCCTCCTCCCCCCTCTTCTGCCCTCCTCGATGATGGTGGGACAAAGAACAACCATGTCCATGCCCCCAATCAGTGGGGAAAAGACCCCTTTTGGTCAATACAAAGTGATGGGACCAACCAATGGACGTTTCTCCATGGTGGTGACACCAAGTCCCATGAGGAACCTCAACCGAGCCCAAGGTGGGACCCCAAAGAGGACCAAGATCCCCCAATCCAAGCCCAGGGACACTCACGTGGGTGAAGTCTGGGGCTCTCCATGCCTTGGCCATTGCCGCCACGTCCCCAACCAATGTCCCATCAGGTCCTTGGAGGTCGTTGGCCACGTTCCCATCGTAGTTGCCACAGAGCCCACAGAGCTTCTCACTTAGGTCTTGGGCCACCATCACTGTCACCTCCCCAGATGGGTTGAACCCAATGTCCAGTGAGGGGGTTTGGGTGATCCAGATGGTTCCACGGGTCTCAGTGATGTTCAATGTCCCATAGACCTCCATAGGGATGGTGGCTGGGACCCCATTGACCTGGAGAAGACACCAAGAAGGAGAAGGTGGCTCCCTGCCATGGGGTGAAACAGCCAAGAAATGGGTCGTTTATCCACCACCGCCCCAAATTCGGGTGAAATCCCTTCGTTTTAGGGATGGAGACATGGTGGGAAGCACCATGAGGTCCTTCCATGGGGCTGGGGTGAAGGAGGGCACCCATGGGTGCTTCTTATAGGTGAAATGGCTTAAAAAAGGACCATTTTGGTCAATGGAAAGGGCTGAGGAGGTGCATGGACATCTCATGGTGAGGGTGGGATGGAGGAGGGACCATGCCAGTGCTTCCCATACGTGACACTGATGGACCTTGGGATATAATGGTGGAAACCCATGGATTTAGGTGACAATAAAGGACCTTTTCGGGTGGTAGCACGATGGGGACAACCTACCCAGACCTTCTTCTCCCTCCTGACAGTGATGAAGGCCCGAGGGCTGAAGAGATGAAGGGCCACCACTGATGGTCGATCTTGGTCCTCTCCAACCTCAGCCAAGAGCCGGAACCATGGAGAGCGTTGAGGGTCACACAAGGTGGCCACCACATAGACACCATTGGCCATGGTGGTGCCGGTGGCCCCATCGAAGGAGACAAAGCGGGTGGCTGGGGCCAAGGTGCAGTGTCCTGGTTGCTCCACACAAGCCCGGGCTCCATCTATGAGGCCACAGGCATGGCCAATGGGACAAGCAGAAGGTCGACATTGGAGGCCACCAGGACCACGGCATGTGCAGGTCTCGGTGCAGTCGGGGGACATGATGGTCTCAGCGATCTGTGGCGTGGGAGAAGCAGCAATAGGGCGTCTATGGCTGGAGTTCCAGTTGGGATGGGGCAGAAGGGCAAGAAATGAGGAGGTTTCCCATTAGAAAGGGGAGGAAGGTCAAGAAACATTGAGGAACCCCCTTGGAAAGGTGGAGAACATCAAGAAAAGTTGAGTTTTCCCATTGGAAAGGGGTAGAAGGGCAAGAAATGAGGAGGTTTCCCATTGGAAAGGTGGAGAACGTCAAGAAACGTTGAGGAACGTCCTTGAAACGCTGAAGAACATCAGGAAACCTTGAGTTTCCCCATTGGAAAGGACCAGAGGGTCAAGAAACGTTGAGGAATCCCCTTGAAATGCTGAAGAACGTCAAGAAATGGGTCTTATGGACCTGCAGAAGACATGGAAACCCCTTGAAGCACCCATGACACCTTCAAGGAACCCACCTCAAAGTAGCGCCCATGGTGAAGACACCCACAGGAGTCCATGGGGACACATTCGCCACCACTGAAGAGGAAGCCCTGGTCGCACTCGCAGCCCTCGAAGCATCTGCTGGTGCATGGTGGGGTCATGGAGATGGTGGCGCAGGTGAGGTCACAGCTATGGGTGCAGAGGGAGTAGTGGCTGTGGGGTGGGCAGGAGAGGGCTGGAGGGGAGAAGAACCTGGTTATGTTCTGCTTGTCCAAGGAGGTTCCTTCTTGTGACCTCCTACACCCATGGAGGACCTCAACCGTGGTCCATCCAACCTCATACCTTCATGGAGGACCTCAACTGTGGGCCACAAAGCCAGGTTCCTCCTTGAAGAACCTCAACCCTGCTCCATCAAACCTCAGCCCTTGATGGAGAACATCAACCCTGGTCCATCAAACCAGGTTCCTCTTTGAAGAACCTCAACCCTGGTCCATCCAACCCCCCAGTGACCCTCTGTGGACTCACGGCAGTTGGCTGCGTCCCTCCAATCCTTGAGGTCTCCACCAGCAGCTTGACAAGCAGCAGCATAGACCTGGAAGCTCCTACACAGGGCTTTGCCCCCCGGCTCCTTGCATTGCTCCTGCATGCACCCAACCATGTACTTATGGGGTTCCACCACCCCGTGGCACCCAGAGAAGGGTCCTGATGCCTCCTCCAGCACCCCACATAGCCCTGGGGTGTCCATGGGACAGGTCGTGGGGAGGAACCCATGGGTGCAAGTGGTTGAGTTGGTGTCCTCTTGGGGTTTATCATCACTGAGGTCACCATTGAAGTCACCACAGAGGCCACGGGTTCGCTGGTGGTAGGAGCTGGGCAGGGTGACAAGGACGTAGGAGACACCATCAAAGAGGACTTTGGGGCCTCCTTGGGTCAATAGCACCCGGTGGGTGCCCTCTTGGGTCACTGTTATGGTCCCACCAGCCAGGACCAACGGCAGGAGGTGCTGGTGGCCGTCTACCTGCGGGGGGACACCAAGAAGAGGGGTGAGAAAGGGGATGGTGGACACCAGAAGTGAGGTTTTGGACAGCAAAGTGGGGTCTGAAGGACCTTCTGGGCACCACGAAGTGGGGTTTGAAGCCCAAAGTGTGGCTTCTACAGCCTGATGTCCACCCCAAACTGGGGTTTGGACCCCAAAACAAGGTCTTCAAGACCTTCTGAGCACCCCAAAAGTGGGTTTTGGTCCCCAAAGTGGGGTCTTCACAGCCTGATATCCACCACAAAAGCCATTTCCACCCCCAAAGCAGATGTCCACCATCCCCAGGTCCCCCACTCACCATCACCTCCCACTGTCTCCCCCTGGCCATGCCCACAGTGACTCCGTGCGTGGTGACCATCACCCTCCGGATGTCTTCTCCTTCCTTGTCCACCTCCACCTTGAAGGCCACCAGCGCCTCCTGAGGCTCCACCACGTCCACCTCCACCAGCGTGTGGGTGCAGCTGCCACCCAGGTCCAAGTGGCGGCCATCGAAGGTGCTGTAGGTGCCACCAAACACCTCGCAGCGCCCACAAGCACGGGGGTAGCAGCCCAAGACCCCATCTCGGACCTCACAGACCTTGTCCACCCCACAAGCTTCTGGCCAACACTCCACCACGCCACCTCCTTGGCACTTGCAACGTTGGCTACAACGTGGACATGCCATGAAGTCCTCTCCTTGCTTGTAGTAGTGACCGTGGTGCCAGCAGCCACACTGGGACAAGGGGACGCAGTGGTCACCGCTCAAGAAGAAGCCATTGTCACAGAAGCAACCTTCAGTGCACGATGAAAGTTCTTCACAGTCTTCTGCTTCAGCTTGGCCACGGCATGTGGGTGGGCAAGGTGGACCACAGAGCTCGTAGTGTTGGTTTGGGGGGCAGGTGGGACCTGGAAGGGGGAAATGAAGAGGGGTCGTGGTTGAGGAGGTCCAAAAGCTTTGAGGATGAAGGGTTAAAGGTGGCCATGGAACAGCAGAAGACATAATGCATGGAGAACCCAACCCTTGGTGGAACCAGGTCTTGGTGTATGGAGAACCCAACCCTTGGTGGAACCAGGTCTTGGTGCATGGAGAACCCAACCCTTGGTGGAACCAGGTCTTGGTGTATGGAGAACCCCACCCTTGGTGGAACCAGGTCTTGGTGTATGGAGAACCCAACCCTTGGTGGAACCAGGTCTTGGTGCATGGAGAACCCAACCCTTGGTGGAACCAGGTCTTTCTATGTGGACCCACCACGACCTTGTCCATGGGCCCACCACCCCACCTTGTGCATGCAAGCCCCAGAAGACCCCTCCACTCACTGCAGAAGGCTGCCGTGCGCCATGGTCTGACCCGGACACCTTGACTCTGACACGCGGTCACGTAGGCGCTGATGGAGCTACAAACAGCTTCTTGGTGGCCTTCATAGATGCAGGTGTCAAAGAGGCAGTCATCCAAGTATGGCGCTGGGTCAATGGCACTGTGGCATGGGGCCAGAGGTCCTGTCTTCTTCACCAGGAGGCCACAGTGTTTGTCACCACGATAGACCCGTTTCTCCTCCTTGGTGCAACCTCGAGAAGCTTCAGCGCTACCAGGTTGGCAACCAGGGCCATGGGCCACCTCCCAAGAGGCCCCAAAGTGGGTCTCATCAGTGGCCAACTGGCCATTGGGCAAAGCCAAGTCGTCTTGAGGGTCACCATTGGCGTTGCCACAGAGGCCACACACGGCCCTTGAGTAGGTGATGGGGAGGAAGACCCTGGCGTAGCTGTGCCAATCGAAGGTGATGGTGACATCAAAGTTGGTCTTGATGAAGCCATGGACGCCGCTGAGGTAGACATGGAGCTTCTCATCATGGTTGAAGGGGAGGTCCACCACGATGCCGTTGACCTGGAAGGGTAGCATGGGTGGATGGGGCAATGGAATGACTTGGAAAGCTACCAGGAGGCCATGCAACCGGGTTGGGATGCCATTGAGGTCCATACAGACGTCATGTAATGAGGTTGAAACCCACAGAAGGGCCTTGGAGCCTGTCTAAACACCATGCAAGGACCTTGCAAGCCACCTAAACACCATAGAGGGAGCTTGGAACCCATCTAAACACCATGCAAGGACCTTGAAACCCATCTAAACACCATGGAAGGACCTTGGAGCCCATCTAAACACCATGCAAGGACCTTGAAACCCATCTAAACACCATGGAAGGACCTTGGAGCCCATCTAAACACCATGCAAGGACCTTGAAACCCATCTAAATACCATGGAAGGACCTCATAACCCACCTAAACACCATGGAAAGACCTTGGAACCCATCTAAAACCCATACAAGGACCTTGAAACCCATCTAAACCCCATACGAGGACCTTGAAACCCATCTAAACCCCACGCAAGGACCTTGAAGCCCACCCAGATGCCTCCCAATGACCACACAAGCCTACCTTGAGCTTCTTGGGGTGCTCCTGGCTGAGGCTGAGGCTCATGTTGTAGACCTCCAAGGTGACCTCCTTGGTGAAGGAGACCACACGGTTGCCCCTGTTGTTGTTCTCAACGGTGACCATGAAGGGGACCAAGGTTGGGTCATCAGAGCAGAGGGCAACCAACTGGTAGGTGCAGGTCCCCATGAAGTCATAGCGGTGCCCATCAAAGGTGGTGTAATGGGGGTCACCGGTGGCCACGCAGATGGACCTACTCTTGGCCACGCATCTCCTCACGCCCTTGACCACTGAGCAGGTCTCGCTTGGCTTACAAGCCATCTCCTTGCACACCACCATGGCCAACGTTGGGTCACAGCGACACCGAGAGCTGCAGGTCTCATCGGCCCAGAACTCCTCACCAGGAAGGTGGTAACGTCCTTCATGGGTGCAACCACAACTGGCCAAGGCCACGCATTGGCCCCCGCTGAGGACATAGCCCTGGTTGCAAGCGCAGGTCTCCACGCAAGGTTGGGTGCATGTGGTGGGAGCATCTTGGTCAGTGCATGTGGCCGGGCAGGAGGTGCCACAAGCTTCATAGTGGCTGTTTTCAGGGCAGGGTAAGGCTGGGAATAGAGAAGACAGAGGACAATGAAGATCCATCACGTTGAAGGTCCTCCAGTTGTGTTGGGCAACCTCTAGAAGGGTTGGGTGGAGAATGGGTGGAAAGAAGGACTTGGTGGTGTTGGTGGAGGAGAACCTCAATGTTGACCGAGGAACCAACCATGTCCTGGGTTCCATCACCAGAATCATGGGATCATGGAGTCAGCCAGGTTGGAAAAGACCTTTAAGGTCATCAAGTCCAAAACCGTGTCAGCAGCAGGTCATGGAGGGGATTGTCCACCTCTGGGCAGACCCCACTTGGAGAACTAGGTCCACCTCTGGTGTCCCCAACATAAGAAGGTCAATGGAGCTGTTGGAGGAAGGCCAAAGGAAGCCATGGAGATGCTCCAAGGGCTGGATCAACTCTGCTATGGAGATAGAGAGAGCTGGGGTTCTCCAACCTGGAGAAAGGTCCATAGAGACCTTGGAGCACCTTCTAGGACCTAAAGGGGCCACCAGAAACATGGACATGGGCTTTGGACAAGGGCTGGAGGGATGGGATGAGGAGAAACAGCTTCCATTTGGAAGAGGGTAGAGTTGGATGGGATCTAAGGGAAAAGTTCTCCACCATGAAGGTGGTGGGACATTGGAATGGGTTGAATGGAGAAAGTTGGGATGCTCCATCCTAAGGCCAGGTTGGACAGGGCTTGAAGCAACGTTGTCTAGTGGAAGGTGTCTATGTCCCTTGATTGGAACTAGGTGGTCTTCAAGGTCCAACCCATGGTTGGAAATAGATGAGCTTGAAGGTCCCTTTCAACCCATTCCATGGTTCTAACACATTGGGGTTGGCCATTAACCCATGAAACCCAACCAGAAGTAGACATCCCCTTAAGCCACCATCACCCTATGCTTGACCTTGGGTCCCAGGCCCACGTCACCACCTGAACCATGGTTACCATGGACCTCCGTCTCCAACCTCCCTTAGATACCAGTTGTGAAGCCCTACCATTTGCACCACCCAATGCCTCAAAGGTGGTCCCCATGGACCTCCGTCTCCAACCTCCCTTAGATACCAGTTGTAAAGGTTTCAATGGACCCCAATGACATGTGACTTCTTGGCCATGGAGATCCATGGAGAACCATGACCACCACTTACGGCAACCTGATGGTGTCCTCCAGTCGTGCACGGTGGCCCCATTCTTCTTGCAGATGGACGCATAGGCCTCCAACACAGGGCAGAAGATCTGCTTGGCCCCATCACCCATACACACATCATAGAGGCAGTTGCGGTAGAAGTCCTGTGGTGGGACCACATCATGACAAGCTTTGAAGGGCCCTTGGAAGCTCTTCTTGATGAGGCCACAATACTGGTTGCCACCGTAAAGCTCCTTCTTCTCCTCTTCACACACCGGGCAGGTTCCTTCGCAGTAATGCCAACAGAATGGGTCATCTTCATGGTCATCAAGGACCTTCCAAGCTTCAGCCCAGGCCACCATGGAGGTGAGGTTGGTGCCGCTCTGGGGGACGTCATCTTCTGCCTTGAGGTTGAAGTTGCCACAGAGGCCACAAGTGTGTCTGTAGAAGCTACTGGGGAGGTCGATGAGGAGACGCCAGTTCCAGTCATACGTTACCCTCAGGCCAAAGTCAGTCTCCAACACGGCGCTGAGGCCACTCTGGAAGATCTTGAGCTTGCTGTCCTCCAGGCTGACCGGCAGAAGGGTCACCACACCGTCCAGCTACAGGGAGGGAGGAAGGGGGTTGGGGTGTGCAACCAGCCCATGGCAATGTGAAGCCACCCATGAGAAGGTGCAACCACTCATTGACAACGTTCAACCACTCATTGACCATGTTCAACCACCCCATGGCAACGTGTCAACCGCCCATGAGAACGTTCAACCACCTTGGGTGGGTTTGGGGTAGGAAACAACCTCAGGTTGCTCCATGGTATCTCCCACCACTTCAAATGTCGAGTTGATTGGACCAGTGGTGGTCTTGATGGAGCAGGTAGAGGTTTGGACCATGATGGAGAAGAGATGGATGGAAAAGGAGGTGGAAAAGTCCCATTTTCCTTCCATTTTAACCCCAATCACCCTGACTTTGCCCATTTCCTTCTGGTGGATGGAGATACGTTGACCATAGACCTCGATAGTGACCAAGCTCCTGGACGACATGGATGAAGAAAGAGATGGATGGAAAAGGAGGTGGAAAAGACCCATCTCCCCCCAGTTTTGGGTCAACTCACCCTGACTTTGCCCATTTCCTTCTGGTGGATGGAGATACGTTGACCATAGACCTTGATGTTGACCAAGCTGACGTAGGAGATGGATTTGACCCCACCATGGACGTTATTCTTGCTCTCCACCTTGAAGGGCACCAAGGAGGTGTCATTCCCACAGGATTCCACCATGGTGTAGGTGCAGGTCCCTTGGAAGTCAAAGTCCAGCCCATCAAAGGTGTGGTAACGGGGATCTCCCCAAGCCCAGCAGGTTGCAACCATGGATGGGACACATTTGGCTTGACCATCCTTCAACTTGCATCTCTCTTTGGGTCGGCACCGAAGGGCTTTGCAAGGGTCTGGAAGGAGAAGAAACCATAGGAGAAACCATGGGAGATGGACATTGGTGGCCTCCATCTCCCATTGCTCCTGGAGAGAGTGTCCACCATCTCCCATTGCTCCTGGAGATCAGTGGCCACCATCTCTCTTGCTTTAAGCTTTGCTCCTCAACCTTGCCCTTCAAACTAGACCATCCAGACCATCAAATGGACCTTCTCCATCTCCAACCCCCCCCAGAAGTCCCCATTGTTCCTTACTTTGGTTGATGCACCCCATGATCCCATCCTTGATCTCACAGGTCTCATCCTCAGTGCAACTGTGGTTGCTACAGGTCAAGCCTTGGCCAGGGACACACGTACAACGCTGTTGGCAGGTCTCCTTCAGGATCATCTCATGGGGCTGGAGGGGGAGAGGAGCCAAAGGGATGAGAAGGTTGGAATGACCAGGTTTGACAGGGCTTGGAGCAACGTTGTCTAGTGGAAGGTGTCCATGTCCCTTGGTTGGAACCGGATGGTCTTCAAAGTCCATCCCAACCCAACCCATTGCATTTCTTCATGTGAAACCATGAAGGAGGAAGCTACTGAGATATTTCATCTACAAGGAGCTTTGGGACCATTGCCTGCAATGTAAATGGGAAGAAACTGATGAAGAACCCCCCAAAGGCCACCAGAGTGAGAAGGTTCCTACCTTGTAGTACTTGCCATCCACAAAGCATCCACAGTGGCCCTCAGGGACGCAGCCATGGCCATCAAAGACATACCCTTGGTCACACTGACACCCTTCCATGCAGCTTTGAGGACATCTGGAGGCATCTCCAAGCCCTGAGCAGCTCTTGGTGCAGAGGTTGGTGCAAAGGGAGTAGCTGCTGTTGGCCGGGCACTTGAGGGCTGCAATGGAAGCCATGAGGTTGACCCAATGTGGGGGTGCAAGAGTGGTGGCAACCTCAAGGGTGGACCTTAAGGTGGTGGAAGGGTCTAAATGTTGATGGGAACAGAAGCCATGAGGTGCTGGGGGCAAGGAGAAGACAACCTGAGCACCAACAAGCACCATCATTGTGGTCACCATGGACCTCCATCTCCAACCTCCCTTAGATATCAGTTGTGAAGCCCTACCATTTGCACCACCCAATGCCTCAAAGGTGGTCACCATGGACCTCCATCTCCAACCCCTCTTAGATACCAGTTGTAAAGGTTTCAATGGACCCCAATGAAATGTGACTTCTTGGCCATGGAGAACCACGACTGCACCACTTACGGCACAAAGATGGTCTTCTCCAAGCCTCAATGGTGACCCCAGCATCTTGGCAAGCAATGGAGTAGCTCTGGATGCTCCTACAGAGGACACTGGTGTCCCCTTCAGCAAGGCAAACATCATGGAGACATGCTTGGAGATACAGGCCCGGGTCAATGAGGTGGTGGCAGGAGGCAAAAGGTCCCTTTGGGACCATGAGGAGGCCACAATAGTTGGGTTTCTGGAGGACCATCATCTTCTCCTCCGTGCAGATGGGACAATGGTCCTCGGGGCAATGGTCAACACAAGGTGCATCAAGGGTCTTCCAAGCAGAGCCAAAGACCATCGTATTGGGAGCTTGGTGGCCATCAGGGAGGAGAAGCTCATCGTCTCGTTGGCCATTGTAGTTGCCACAGAGCCCACAGAGGTGGCCTTGGTAGCTTGGTGGGACCGTGACCATGACGTGGTGGAGGAGGTCATAGCGGATGAGGAGGCCAAAGTCAGTCTGAAGCAGGATGCCCATCCCGTGTTGGTGGACCTCAACCTGACCATGGCTTAGGATGGCCGGGAGGTGGTGGGATACAGAGTCCACCTAGGACAGGAAGATATAAAGCCCACCAATGAGCTTCAAGGAGGCTGCAAGGAGAAGGTTATGGAGGTAGGAGCAGGAACCACTCGGAGAAGAACCTTCCAACCAACCTTCTAATGGCTTTATGGAAGCTGGAAAGTAAAACATGGCTTTATCTTGGACATAGGGGTGAGGCCTTCTCCCATCATGGAAACAGAAGTTTGGGCTCTCATGTCCCTAAGGTGGACCCCAAAATGTGGCTATGGATGGGGCTGTGTCCCTCTAACTTCATGGCAAGGTCAATGTGAGCCCATAGATGTTGATGGTGGACCACCATCATGGAGCTTGTCCATCCAACCTCATGCCAAGGTCAGTATGAACCCATAGATGATGATGGTGGACCACCATCATGGAGCTGTGTCCCTCCAACCTCATGCCAAAGTCAACATAAAGCCCATAGACATTGATGGTGGACCACCATGGATGAAGCTGTGTCCATCCAACTTCATTCCAAAGCCAACACGAACCCACAGACTTCACCACTACAACCTTAGGTCCACCACAGTGGACCTCCAAGTACCACCTTACCATGACACTCCTCCTGCCTTGCATCAAGGTCAGCGTGAGCCCATGGACCTCAACGGTCAACGTTTGGATGCTGGAGACCTTCTTCTTCTGCCGAGCATCCTTCTGGATCTTCACCACAAAGGGGTTGAGGTTGTCACCAGAGCAGGTCTCCGTGAGGACATAGGAGCAGGTACCTGAGATGTTGAAAGCCACCCCATCAAAGGACATATAGTTGCGGTCACCAGTGGCCACACAGGTCCCTGGTGCAGTAGATGGACATTGGAAGACCCCATCGATGACTTCCCCTTCACTGTCACCAGGACAAGAGGTCTTCTGGCAGTCCACATTGCCACCAGGTTGGCAGTGACACTTCTCCTGCATGGAGGGGTAGAAGGTCTCATTCGCCTTGTAGTAGAAGTCCTGATGGTGACAACCACACTGGGACATGGGGACACACTCGTCACCACTGAGCACAAAGCCTTGGTCGCACACACAACCTTCCCGGCATTGGTCCTTCATGGAGCATCTTCTGGATGTGTGGATGGTGCTGCAGGTCTGGGAGCAGGGTTGGGAGCAGAGCTCATAGTGGCTTCTTGGAGGACAGGAGATATCTGCCATTGGACATGGAGATCTGTGAGGAGCAAGGAAATCCCACCCCAGATCCTCCAGTTTTTCTACACTTGGGGACAAAGCTCTGCTTGATGGTGGTGTCCACCACATGTAGATGGGTTTAACCCTAGTTACACCTCATCTCTACCTCCTTATGGACATCATGAAGGTTGAGGTGTCCATAAAGATGGTGGAACCAGCCTAAGAAGGGTTCCTGGTCATTGGAACAGAGATGATGGGACCAAGCTAAGAAGGGTTCTTGGCCATTGTCCATGACCAAAGATGATGGGTTCCTGGTCATTGTCTATGACCAGAGATGATGGCAACTATCTAAGAAGGGTTCTTGGACATTGGACCAGAGATGATGGGACCAACCTAGATGTTGGGTGGGATTCCCACCTCTCTGCTTCATCTGCACATGGTTTTGGGCTTCCCTTGGATGTTCCTGACCCTTCATGAAGCCCAAACCCAACCGATGATCCCAACTTACTGCAGAAGTCCTCGGTCCTCCACATCCCAATGGTGACACCAGCAGCTTGGCAGGCAGCAGCATAGCGGGCAATGATGGGACATGCCACCTCCTCCCGATGTGGGAAGAGGCAGGAATCATGGACACAGCTTTGGAAGTACTTGGTGGCATCTACATGAGCATGGCAAGCTCCAAAAGGTCCATCTACTTGTTGGAGGAGCCCACAACCCATCTTGGAGTCGTCTTCTTGCTGTTGCTGTCCCCTCTGGGGACATTCCACCTTTGATAGCTCCATGCAACCTGGGATGTCCATCACCTTCCACTTGTCTCCATAGGCGTCCAGGTTGGAGGTCGCACTGTTGCTCTTCACCATTGTCGTCATCTCATCATCCATGTTCCCATCGTAGTTCCCACAGAGGCCACACAAGGTGTTGGAGTAAGTGCTGGGCACTGAGACCGTGACTTGGCTTTGCCAGTCATAGGTGACCATGAGGCCAAAGTCAGTCTCCACCACGGCTTCTTGGCCACCTCTGGAGACGGAGATCTTCTTGTCTCGGTGGTGGTACGGGAGGTTGACCAAGCGGTCATTGATCTGGGGGCAAAAGGCAAGAAGAAGCCATCATTTGGTGTCCAAGACTCAATTCTGCACCCCCTTGACTCTAACTGACCCACCCAAACCATCTAGATGGAGACCAGGATGAACCCATAACCATGTGCCCACCAGCTCTGAGGTGAATGGTGCCCACCGTCACACATGGATCTCCTGCTTCTGGTGGAGATCCATAGATAGAGGCCATTAAACCTCATCTTGGTCAATGTGGGGTCACCAAACTCAAGGGTGGAAGCTCTGAATCTCAGTGTGGTTGAAGGAGAACCTTCAGTGTTGCCCAATGGATGGAAGAGAAGAAATGGGCTGAGGAGCAGAAGAACATGAAGAAACATCTACTAAACCCACCATGACTTTGCCAGGATAGTCCTGCTTGACCACAATGGTCTTGCCATAGACTTTGACCATCACAAGAGCAATGGAGGACAAAGCTTCCTCCTCATGGCCATTCTGCACCAACACTTGGAAGTCCACCAGCTCTTGGCTCTTCTCACACAATCCAGTGAACTGGTAGATGCAGGAACCTTGGAAGACGAAGCTCCCACCATCGAAGGTCTCATAATGGGTGGCACCAACAGCAGAGCAGGTCCCATAGCTCTTGGGGTAACAGTCTTGGATGCCCTCTTCCACCCGGCATTCTTCTCCATCACTGCAGCTGGACCATTGACATATGGGCCTTTGGAGCTCCATGTCACACCTACAGCGCTTGGTGCAGCTGGTGTCACCCCAAAAGACCTCGTGGGGACCATGGAGGAGGCCCTCAAAGACGCAACCACATTGGTCTTGGGGGATGCACTCGTTGAGGTCCAACACGAAGCCCTCCTGGCACTGGCAGGTCTCCACACAGGCCATGGGGTCGCAGGCAGGTGGCATCGCAGCAGGGTTGCAGGTGGTGGGGCAGGAGGTGCCGCACATGGTGTAGTTGCTGTTCTTGGGGCAGGGAAGAGCTGTGGATGGGATGGGACAAGGTGAGGACGGTGGGATGGGACAGCATCTGTATAGTGGGATGGGACACTGTGGTCATGCATGGTTATGGTGGGATGGGACACTGTGGTTGAGGTTGGAAGGGATGCGATGCTTGTGGTGGGACGGATGCCATGGGCAAGGTGGGATGGGATGCTCATGGTGGGATGGAATGCCATGGTTGTGGTGGGAAGGGACATGATGGTCACGGTGGGATGGGACACCATGGTCATAGTGAGATGGGACATTATGGTTGTGCATGGTTACGGTAGGATGGGATACTGTGGTTGTGGTGGGATGGGACACCGTGGTCACGGTTGGATAGGACTTTCTACATGGACTTTCTGGAGTCTCCATGGACTCCATGGTCATTCTGGACCCACTTCTTTTCCATGCCCCTCTTCCCACACAACCTGTCCCACCTCACTTGGAAGACCAAGACCTCTCTGGTGACACCAACACCCCCATTGGCCTCATTTCCCTTTCTCCCCTTCTCCTTCTCATTCCCATCCCACCACTCCTTGATTCCATAAGGAACGTGCCCACCAAGGGGAGGACCTTTGGGCCCACCAGGAGCTACTCACGACACTGCGCCGATGTCCTCCAGTCCTCAATGGTGACCCCTTCCTCTTGGCAGCTATCTGCATAGGCTTCGAGAGCTTGGCACAGCATGGTATGGAGCCCATCACTGACACACAGGTCATAGATACAGTTGTCCAAGTAGACATTGGGGTTGATGGTGGCGTGGCACCTCCTGAAGGGCCCCATACGTTGGGTCAACATCCCACACGACGTCTCCTCCTTGTAGCTGGCCACTATGTCCCATTGACAACGGTCACAGTCTCCACCACAGTTGTCCCGACAACGATGGGTCTCACTGGTCACCTTCCAGCTCGTTCCCAGCTCCACCATGTCCTGGGCCATGTTGCCATCAGGTTTGAGGGCATCATCTTGAGGGTCACCATTGGCGTTGCCACATAAGCCACACACTTTGCCAGCGAGGGCACTGGGGAGCTTCACCACCACATGGTCGTCCCAGTCATAGAGGACCTTCAGTCTGAAGGCCGTTTGAAGCAGCATGGACTTGCCCTTTGTTTGCAGGTGGAGCTTCCCATGGGCGAGGGTGATGGGGAGGTGGGACCGGTGGTTGTTGACCTGGAAGAGGAAGGAAACCCCATGAAGGACCCAAAATGACATCCAAAATGGGGTGAAATGGAAGGGTTTGAGCTTCGGAGGTGACCATGCAGAAGCTCATTGAGGTTGGAGAAGACCCTTCAGACACATTGTTCCCATGTTGCTTTGGATTGACATACCCTCACCATCCCGTTCTCCGACCTGACCACCACAATGGTCACACCATAGACACGGATGGTCACGGAACCGACATAGGAGACCTTCAGGTTGCCCCGATGCTCGTTTTTGGCCTCAATGCTGAAGATGGGCAGGGTTGGGTCTGGGTCACAGGTCTTGGCCAAGATGTAGGTGCAGGTGCCCATGAAGTCAAAAGTTTGCCCGTCAAAGGTCCTATAGTGAGCATCACCGGTGGCCCAGCAGGTTGAGAAGATCTCTTTGACACATTTGGGTTGTCCATCCATCATCTCGCACCTCTCCTTGCAGGCCAAGTCTTGGCACAAAAGAGGACGAGAACCTGCAGAGAAAGAGGGGAGAAAGCCGTGGATGGCCACCATGGAGAAGAAGAGAAAGAGGGAAGAAACCCACCATGGAGAAGAAGAGGGAAGAAACCCATGGATGACCACCATGGAGAAGACCTGCCCATTGGCAACACACAACCATGGTGTTGACCATACTTACGGGTGGCACAAAGACCACTGAAGCCATAACCAACATAGTTCTGGAAGCCAAAGTCCAGGAGCCCAAAAGGTGTCCTTGGGTGCTCCACACTCTGGATCTCCCCTGGCTTGGTCATGGTGATGGTGGCCCAGGAGAAGTCTGTGCCGGGAATGGGTTGCCAGGATATGGTCCTCTCCATCTTCTGGTTGAGTGTTATGGAGCTGGTGTCCACGTTGAGGGCTGTGAGGACAATGTGGTTCTCATAGCCGGCAATGCTGATGACCTGGTAGGACTTGCAGTAGGTGGACATGGGTTGGATGTTGGCCATGAAGGGGTCTTGCTTGATGATGCCTTTCTTGGACCCGGTGAATAAGAAAACCACCTGAACCCCAGCTGAAGCATTGAGATGAAGAGGAGAACTTCTGCCCACCCGGAACTTACGGACCTGCCCGGCCACCATGACCTCAGTGGCAACCGAGTCACCCCTGTTGTAGCTGATGGAGGTCCTCTCCGCTGCCACCACATAGGCCAAGTCCATGTCCTTCTGCAGCGGGTTGGGAGGGATGACATAGACCTTTCCCCATCTATCAACAGGCAGAAGCTGCTCAACTACATGGTCGCATCCCGTGTGGATCTTCACACAGCTATGGCCACTGAGGACCACCACAGGGTTGTCCGATATGACCTCGGTGCCAGAGAGATCGTAGTGGCTTTGGAGCTGGAAGCTGTGGTAGGAACTCAAGAAGATGTGAAGGATGGTCCCAGGGGAATAATTCCTCCCTCTGTAGTAGAACCTACCCTTGGCTTTGATGGCAACGCTGGTCGAGGTCCTCCCGGCCACCACCACCAGCTCCTTCAGCCCATCTCTCCTGCTGCTTTCTGGCGTCACCACATAATACCTCTGACCCAGGATCTCCATAGGTAGAACCATGGTGGGTAGGTCTTGGAGCTAATGGCCACCACCGAGATGTCCTTGTTGGCCTGGATCAAGACGGCTTTATCTGAAAGCTGGTTGCCCACCAGCTCCATGTTCCCAGGAAGGCGGAGAGGAACCGTGTCACCATTCCCAAGGGTGATGGTGTTGGTGAAGGCACCTTGGCGTGCGGTCACCTTCACCGTGGTGGACATGGAGTAGGCTGTGAGGAGGAGCTGGGCATGGAGGTAGGTGCCTTCCTCATCGTTCTGCATGAAGGCCGTGAGGAATTCCGTGCCGGGAAAAGCCGAGGTGGGAAGAGCTGGAGAAGAACATGGGAAAAGTGGGAATTTGGGGTCTATTTTTGATGGCTGGAAGTTGGGCTGGAAGGTTCTGCTCCAAGGTTCAGCCAGAGCAAGGAGTGAGGCTGAATGTTGGATTTGGGGTGGGAATTCCCAATGGGAATGAGGGTATTTGGGAAGGAAAAGGGTCATGTAGGATGGTTGGAGTGGAAAACGGGGGGGTTGGTTGGGGAAAGGCATGGGAAGTTCTAAGGAAACGGAGCTTGGGGGAGAAATGGGAAATTAGGGAAAAGGGGAAATTGGTGGAATGGGAAATAAGTGGAAAAGGGAATTGGTGGAAATGGGGATTGGGGGAAATGGGAATTGGGGGAAATGGGAAATTGGTGGAAAAGGGAATTGGTGGAAATGGGGATTGGGGGAACTGGGAATTGGGGGAAAAGGGAATTGGTGGAAAAGGGAATTGGTGGAAAAGGGAATTGGGGGAAATGGGGATTGGGGGAAATGGGAAAAAAGAGGGGAAAAGGGAAAGTGGGGGAAAGGGGGATGGGGGGAAATGGGAATTGGTGGAAATGGGGATTGGGGGAAATGGGAATTGGGGAAAATGGGAACGGATGGTGGGTTTTCCTGGTGGAAACAGGGTTGGAATATCGGGACACATCCAAAATGGGGGATGAAAGGGTTTTTTGCTGCAGAAATTGCAATGGGAGGGGTGTTTGGGTGGGTTTTGGGTGGGTTTAGGGGGTTTTGTTGTGGTTTGTGGGGTTTTAGGGTTATTTTGTGGCATTTTAAGAGTATTCTGGTCTATTTTGGGGGGGTTTAGGGGTATTTTGTGTGTTTGGGGATTATTTTGTGTGTTTTGGCTGGTTTGGGGGCGATTTTATGTGGTTTATGGGGTTTTAGGGCTTTTTTGAGTGTTTCAGGGGGGGGGTTAGGGGTTTTTGGTGTATTTTGTGGGTTTTCAAGGGGTTTTGTGTGTTTTCTGGGAGTTTCAGTGCTTTTTATTGTGTTTTGTGGGGGGAGTTGTGTGTTTTGGGGTCTTTTAGGGGGTTTTATGTGTTTTGTGGGAGGTTTAGGGAGGTTTTTGTGTGTTTTGTGGGGTTTAGGGGCTTTTTTGTGTGTTTTGTGGGGTTTTAGAGCTATTTGTATGTTTTTTAAAGGGGGTTTTATGTGTTTGAGATAATGAGAGAATGAGGGTGTTTTGGGTAAAAATTGGGAATAATGACGTTTGGCTGGAGGTAAAAGCAGGGAATAAGGGATTTGGGGTGAAAAAAGGGGGTTTTTGGTGAAAAACAACAGGCAAAGAGATTTTTGGTGAAAAGGTGAAGGGTTAATAAAGTGGGAAAGTGGGAAATGGGGAATAAGGGGAAATCTCTGGAAAACAAAGGGAATAAAGACTTGCTGCAGAAACACGAAGCAGAAGGGAGTAAAATAAGCTTAAACCACAGGAAATAGGGGGGTTGGGGATGGGAATGGGGTTGGGTTGATGCTCACCACAGCAAAGAGCCAATGGAAGCCACCAGATGCCCATCTCCATCACTGGAAGAATGCCCAAAACAAGGAAAATGGGGGGTAAAAAGAGCCATTAAGGGACAAAGAGGAACCTGGAGATGACCTAAGTGTCTTCAGCATCTCCTTTTGGCCCCAAATTGTCCCCAAAGACCCTTTTCTACCTATGGAACCCTCTTGGAAGTCACTTGGGGTTGAGTTCTTCTCAACCCAATGATCCCCGAGTTGTCCCTTTGCCACCACATCCAACCCAAACCCCTTCTTGATGCCACCTCCAAGCCATGGTGCCATCAAACCCTCCTTGTAACCGTCCACAAACCCACCCAGAAATGAAATCCACCCCTAAAACCACCCAAAATTGGGTCAGAATGAGGCTAAATGGCAGGGATTTGGCCATTCCCACCTTCCGGATGATCTTAGAGCTGCTGGTTGCCCTCCATCACTCAACATCTGATGGGGTTCCATCAAAAACATCTCAATCTGGGCTTGGGATGGAGGAAACCCCCTTTTTACGTGGTTTTCTTGGGAATTTAACCCATTCAGGGCTTCTTCTTGGTGGGTGAAGGTATCTCTGACACCTTTGGCTTAGATGGAACAACCCATCATGCCCCAATGGACCCACAGCACTTACCTTCAGTCTTCTTTCTGCTTCAGCGTCTCTTTGCTCTCTCAAAGAACATGGATACATGAGGCTGGATGAAGGAAAACTGCCAGCTTGATCCCAGAACTTCCCTTTTTATGGCCAAATGAGGCTTATCTCATGGAGCTCTCACAGGGACCTCTGATAGGAGAAGGAATTGGCTCCAAAAAGGGCTGGATTTGGCCAGATCTCATGAACAGGAGGTGGGGTTGGAGCTTCGGAGGCCAAAAGAGGTTGGATTGCGAAACTGACCCTGGAATTCCAGAGAATTGGAGTTAATGGTGCACATGATGGCGCCAGAGGCCATGGGAAATGTGGAGCTGGATTCCTTCAGCTCCAATGTTTTCTTGGTGGGAAGGATGCTGAGGATGTTGTGATGGGTGATGGGATCCATAGGGAACATTGAAATGGCTGCAGGATCCATAGGGAATGCTGTGATGTGTGATGGGATCCATAGGGGGACAGTGTGGTGGGTACAGGACCCCCATAAGGACATTGTGGTGGGTGTAGGACCTACAGAAGGACGTCGTGGTCGTTTTGGACCTCCATAGGGACATTGTGATGGGTGCAGGACCCCATGCCCCATGTCCCCATCTGCCTCCCACCACCATTCCAAGGTCCCCACCACCAAGACCCCCCAAACCTCATCCAGCTCCTCCAGACATTGCACTTGGAGCACGTTCTACCCCCCTGTTTGTGGCCTCCAAGAGATGGTGGTGATGGAACAGGGTTGATTAATGAGGAACTTCCTTCTGGGAAGCCTGGAGAACATCAAGGCCCAGCTGGTGTGTCCATGCCAAGACCTTATCTAAGAGCTCATTAATCAGCTGGAGGAGCCAGATGTCTCCCATGACCTTCTGGAGACCTTAGATGGGGTCTTGAACTCTTGATGGACAGAAAGTTGGCAGATTCCATTGTGATTATGGGTTTTGATCCTGGTGGGATGGGTTTTCCTCCTGGTGGGATGGGTTTTCCTCCTGGTGGGATGGGTTTCCTCCTGGTGGGATGGGTTTTCTTCATGGTGGGATGGGTTTTCCTCATGGTGGGATGGGTTTCCTCCTGGTGGGAAGGGTTTTCCTCATGGTGGGATGGCTCCAGGAGATCTTCAAGTCAAAAGAAGGGACAGGATGTGACCTCAAACTCATTTCTTGCTGGGTGAGCTCTTCTTTCCTTCTCTTCTTTCCTTTGGGATATCAAGCCGCAGCGAGGAGATCCAGGTAGGACATTTGATTTCCATCTTCTCCCTTGGAATTCCAAGTGTTGGAGCAGTTTCTCCTTCTTCCTATGGCTTCAAATAGCAGGAATTGGGCTGAAATGAGCCCAAAAAAGCCCTTGATTTGCTACAAGGGAAGATCTAGAGCTTGTCCTGCAATGACCACCCACGGATGCTCCTCCGATCCCCCCATTCCCATCGGGAATCCTCCATCCTGCCTGAGTTTCTTTCTGTATCATCCCGAATGGGGATTATTTCACCCCAATCCCTGCAGTTGATCCCAGATTTACTCCAGGGGGGTGATTCCCAATGGTGGGACCTCATGTACCCAATGGCAGAACCATCAGGGGGCAAAAGGGGATGAGGGAAGGGTGGAAATTCCCTTGGGAAATGGGATATTTCATGGCATCATGGAATGGGTTCGGGTTAGAAGGACCTTGAAGCTCATCCAGTTCCAACCAAGGGACATGGACACCTTCCACTAGAGCAGGTTGCTCCAAGCCCCTGTGTCCAACCTGGCCTTGAACCCTTCCAAACGTTCTCCAGTCAACCCATTCCAATGTCCCACCACCCTCGTGGTGAAGAACTTCCTTAGATCCCATCCAACTCTTCCTTCTTCCAGTCAGAAGCTGCTTCTCCTCATCCCATCCATTGGAGAAGCCTCTCATTTTGGAGGTGTCGGGATGAAGTCTTCGTTCCATGTCCTGCTCCTGCTCTTAGGTAGGTTAGAAGGAGGCATCTCCTGAGGATGCTCACATCCTGGGTGATGGTTGCATCTCTTTCACCTCCATGTCTTCTTCTCCAGGAGCTGTGGTAAACGTCCAACCAGCAGAAGACAAAGGTGGGTCTTCACACCATCCAAAATGGGGTTTTCCACCCAAAATGGGCTTGTTTCTGCTTCACTTTGGGAAGTAGGATGGGAAAGGAGCTTCCATATGGGAATACGGATGTTGGAGGTCCTCCTCTTGCCCTCTTTGCCCTCAAATCTGTGTCTATCCCAGTTTCACCCCAACCTTTGGCCCTCTATGAGAAGTCAACCCCATTTGGACCCACTTTGACCTACTTGGTCAACCCTAAGCGGAGCTCAGGCCCCATTTAAGACCAACCTGGTGGGTTCCACTCCAAAGTCAATGGGATGGGGTTGGGATGTCCATCAATAACTCAACCTCTGTGTTCCTCCAGCATCTCTGCTCTACCCCTATGGCTTGGATCAACAAGACCATAAGAACCCCAAACTGGATGATGGGACATCAAAGAAGGTCACCCTTGCCGTGCCCTTCACCTTCTATGGCCAGGAGCACCAAACCCTCTATGTATGTGCATCAACATCCCACCACTTCCATGAGGACCTTCCATTTTCCCATTCCCACCTTTTCTTCTGCTCCGTTTTGTCCCTTTTCCCCCCATCTGGTCCCATTTCTGGTGTATCCAAGTGTCCTCCTATGGTTGGTGGGTCTTCGGAGAAGACCTTCACCCATATAGGAGGTCCATGGCCACACTTAGGGTGTCACATCCCACCCCACCTCTTGTTTTGGTGGCGCACTGGTGCCCTCAAGCATGGTCATGGAGATGCAGATGTCAATGGTAAGACCACATCTGGATCCCATCTCCGTGCTACCATAGCCAAGGTGTTGATGGGGCTCCAATGGAGGTGGCCATCACGTTGGGGTTGACCTGATGCCTTCTCCAGGTCAACAACAACGGTGTGATATCCTTTGATACCCGGGTCAACCAATACACCCCAGACCCCTTCCCACTGGCTGATGGACGCTCCTTCGTGGCCCCATACTGGGCAGATGTGGACAACGTGCTTGGAGGAGATGTCTTCTACCGCCAGACCACTGACCCAGCACTGCTGGCCCTCATCACCAAGGACATCAACCAATACTTCCCCACCATCCCCTACACGGCTACATGGGCTTTGGTGGCCACCTGGGACCACGTGGCCTACTATGGCTCTACCACCAATAAGGTAAGGTCCATGGGTATGACTTGAAGGGCAGATGAGACGCATGTGTTGGCCCATGACCCATGGTTGGCCCATGACCATGTGTTGACCTCATACCCATGTGAAAGAAGCTGTAGTAGAACCCCGAAAGTACCCATCTGCTGGTAGACACCAAAAGAACCAGCTTGGATGGACCATTCCTCACCAAGAGAACTTCCTTAACATCCCTCAGAGCTAAACCCCATCCACATCTCCTCATCCCACCACTTCTGGTGTCCATCTCCCCCTTCCTTTCTGCAGGGCAATACCTTCCAAGCCACCCTGACGACTGACAGCAAGATGTCCTTCATCATCCTCAACTACTGGGATATCCAATGGACTACAGGGGCAGCAAGCGATGGTGACCCTGAAACAGGGTTTGGTGGGACTCCAGCCCATGTATGTTGGGAAAGGAGAAGGAAATGGGGTGGAGTTGGGAATGGGGGAGAAGGTCAACCAGGGATCAGCCAACACCAGGTTCAGCCCATCTTTGACCCATAGTTGCAGAAGACAAGGTTGGTCCATGAGATTTTAGGGGGACAACACCAGCTCCAATGAAGATTGAAGGAGCCCCATAACGTGTTTTGGGCCACCACCACCAGCAATAGGAGGTTGTCCCCTGCCATAGGTGAGATTAACCTTCTGAATCCTCCACTTTGGCTCCTTTTCCAGGCTGGCTTCAACAGTGGAGATGACACCAACTTCTACAACATCCCTGGCTCCCAAACTGAAGCCATCATCAACATCACCAAGACCTCCAATGTCAATGTCCCAGGGCGATGGGTCTTCCAAGTGGATGACTTCAAGGTGACGGGGGTCCCCACTGAGGTGCCCAAGGTCTCCAACAGCAACTGCTGGTTGTAAGGTAGGTTTTGGGGTGAAAACCTGGGAAAAAGAGACAATTGAGGTTTCCCTGGAGGACTTCTGTCCTCTTGAGTTCTTGGTTTCTTCCCACAGATACATCAAACCCATTGGGCCAGAGGAACCCAACGGTGTCCCCACCATGTGTAGGATGAAGATGGCCCAATGGGATGCATCAACCTCCATTAGGACAATAAAACTCCAGTTGGGACCTCATGGTGGCCTCTTTTGTGCTCAAATTTGGGATTTTGCCCCTTCTTTTTGCTCAAGTTTACAACAAATTGACAAATTTCTCCTTCTTTGTGCACAAATTCACAACAAATTTAAGATTTTTCCCTTTTCTGCGCTCAAATTTCTGGTTTCTCCCCTTCTTTGGGCTCAAATTTGAGATTTCACCCTTCTTTGTGCACAAATTTACAACAAATTTGGGATTTTTCCTCTTTTTTATGCTCAAATCAGTGATTTCCTCCCTTTTTTTTGCTTAAGTTTCCGATTTTCCCCCTTTTTCGTGCTCAAATTTATGGGGGTTTTGTGCCAAAAGCCCCAAATGACTCATTTGAGGGGGAAAATCCAGATATTCCAGGAAAAACATCCTCCAAACTGGGACTTTTTTCCCTAGATGGAACTTTTTAACCCTAAAAAAGTGGATTTATGCATGAAAATGAGCCCAAACACGCAACATGCAACACACAACATGCAGCACACGTGTGTGCAACACACAACACGCAGCACACGTGTGTGCAACACACAGCTTGGCACAACCACCCCCTAAATGACACCCACAACATGTTCCAACATGATGCAACACGCAACACACATGACTTTGCATGTACCCCCATCACATTACACCCACAACATGCTCTGACACGACACAACACGCAACACGCATGACCTTGCATAGACCCCCGTGATATTGCACCCACAACATGCTCTGACATGACACAACCCCCCCAACCCCCCCAACATGCCACATGCAACATACAAACACCCCCCCCACACCCTTCAGGCTT